CCAATGTTGGAAGAGAGGTACTACTAGACCAAGTGCTAGTTGGTGCATGTCTGTAGGTTAAATGCAGCAAATTCGTTTTGGGCATGGATATAGAAACAAATTACAAGCAGCTTGTCTTTCGTCAGCTTATATTGTCTTATTTGTGTGTAGTTATGTCATGGAAAATTGTTGTCTGGTGGAAAACTATACTATAGATACGTTGATCTTTTGAACATAAAAGAGGAAATCAAATGGGGGTTTAGATGCCAACTGGTTTCTCCTTGACTTGATATGATTCCATGTATCACTATTATTCTTTTGTAAAAATTTATTTTCTTGGTTTATTACTTACAGTTTTCCAATTATTGTCACCATCCAGTTTCAAGCTATTGATCAAGTGATGCAATCTGGTAAAACTTCAAGATAATAATGGCGATATTATGCCATGACACACACTATCAATTTCTAAAAGGGGTAATTAGGATATCTTAATATATGCAGGGGTACTTAACTGAAAAAAAAAAGGGGGGAAATCTTGAAAAAGTTGAGAAATATTCATGACCAAATTGAGATTTGAGTCCAACATGTGGGAACAAAAGTGCAGAGCCTTTATAATATTTGTACTATTAATCATTAGTCAATATCAACTTTGGCATTTCAGGGGATGGAAGAGTAAAGATGCCTCTAAGTCCAACAATTGCTGGTGGTCCGCAACGGAGACCATTTGGCTTGGGGGATAGTCTCAACAGTGGCAGTGGCAGTGGCATCCAGTTAATGGAGTCTTCCTTATACCCATCCACTAGCAGTATGTCCCATAGTTATTCCTCAAATAATCTGGGCCAGATGCAATTTGACAGCAGTAGCATGGGTTCCTTTTGGTCTCCTCACAGATCTCAGATGCGTCTTCAAAGCAGGCGATCACAATCTCGGGAAGACCTCAATTCATCGCTGGCTGAGGCACACATGGTGAAAGTTTAAGGGATGCTCATCTGCATATTTTGGTATGTTCATTCCTTTCTTGTTCAAATTAAGATTTTCTTACTATAAGAAAGAAGAAATGAAAATCGCAATTGAAGTTTACCGTATTCCTTTGTAACATGTAGCCCATTAAAGCTAAGAAACAGACTGATGCATACCTGGAAAAATTCCAGTGCGGCTGCTAAACTAATGAACATAATGATGATTCTGCACCTATGTCTCATTTTTTTGCACCTATCTCTCTCTTGATTGTAAAGCTTTACATATATATATATATATA